AATTAGCATCGGATTCAAGCCTAAGAACTTCAAAAACTCTCAAAATATGCTTTCGATCAAAAAGTCTATCAAACCTCGTCCGAATGACCTGAAATTTTGCACACACGTCACATTCAACACTACGGGGCTACTTCAACTTCCGGAATTCCATTCCGACCCTCGGATCTAAATCTCACTATCGAACCGGTAAATTTCAAAGATTCAACTTCCGGCATTTCAAGCCTAAATTAGCTACGGACCTTTAAAACGCAATTCGAACACGCTCCTAAGACCGAAATCACCCAACGGAGCTAACGAAACCATCAGAATTCCATTCCCAAAACTCTCCGAAACTCTAAATAATTCCTCCCGGAAACTCACAATAGTAGAAACAAACACAGGGAAAGCAGTTAATAGGGGATCGGGGCGTTAATTCTTAAAACGACCGGCCGGGTCGTTATACCAGAAATCAAGGGATCTATCGCAAATCACTCAAGTAACAAAAAGATATGCCTAACGGATGAAAAGCTCGTCGAGACAACAAATCAAGGAAGATCAACGGAAACTTCAGGTTATTCTTGGAAAGAATCAATCTATGATTCTTTTCAAGGATCAACTCCCTTGGGTTTGCAATCTCTCAAGATTCACGTTCAAGAGTGAAGAAGGCCTCACGAATGTATATATATATATATATATATACACACAAACACACACACATATGTTCCAGAATTAAAGAAGACATACTTTGAACGAACCATTATCATTCCTTTTGTTCTACTCCAAACAAGCATTGTAGTTCTTTTAGATATGCTATGTAATTAGTGAGAGAAGAAAAAGAGACAAACACTAGTGAGACATTGTATCAAGAAGAGAAAAGTGACATAGAGATTAAATTGTTGGTGTAAAGCTACATCAACCATTTTGTACTCAAGAAACTTTGATCACTGAAAGAGAACACTCTTGCAACCCAAGGGAACTGGAGTAGAATTCACATTGAATCCGAACCAGTATAAAATTCCAGTGTCTTTATTTCCTGCATTTTATTTTTGCATTACTATTATTCTGATCTTATCGCTAGCCGACTAATTGGTAAATTAGTCAACTACTTACAATATAATTTTTAAATAGCCAATCCCCCCCCCCCCTCCCCTCCTCCCATGCTTTCAATTGGTATCAGAGCTAGTCTCACACTTTTTGCTTAACAGCTTGTGAGAAAAGATCATGGCAAATCAAGTAATTGTTGGAGCACTCTTTCAAGAAAGAACATCGCAAGTTAGGCCACCATATTTTAATGTACAATACTTTTCTCACTGGAAAATACGTATGAAAATATATGCAAAATCCTATGATGTCAAAGTATGGCACGTTATCAAAAAGAGGAACTATCCACTGCCAGCAGCAGCTCAACCACCCGCTGATCCAGAAGATATAGATGAGTACACAGACAAGCTGAGGCACAAAAATTACTCTATAATGCTATAGGTGGAGAGGAATATGAGAAAATCTCAAGCTATGATACAACGAATAAAATATGGGATAAATTGGAAGTTACTTATGAAGGAACCGGCAAAGTGAAAGAAACTCACATTAACATGTTGGTTCATGATTATGAACTCTTCCAGATGAAAGAAGGAAAATACTTTGAGGAAATGTTTGCAAGGTTCAACAAAATTATTAGCAATCTAAGCTTCTGGTAAACCATACTCCAGTGGTGCTCAAGTTTGGAAAATTTTAAGGAATCTAGCTACCACTTGGCAGACAAAAATAGTTGCACTCGAATCACAAGATCTAAACAAAACTTTCATATGATGAGCTTCGAGGAGATATTATAGCATTCTAGAAAATTCATCTCAAGAAAATAAACTAGGAAGAAAAGAAGAAAATAGTTGCCTTCAAAGCTACAACTGAAAGACCAGAAAATAATATTTATGACGACCCAGAAGCTCTTAAAGAATAGATTGCCATAGTATCAAGGAACATGGATGGTTTAATGAGAAGATATAGAAACACAAGAAGAGGTAGGATGCTCCCCCAGACAAACCAGGCAATACAATGAGCAAGACAAGAATGATGGAAAATATTATGAGTATGAAAGATATGGGTATGTTCAAGCTAAATGCCCAGATCTTAAAAGAAAGGTTTCAAGAGGATTAAATAAAAATAAATCTTTTAGAAGCTGGAGTGATAAGACAGTTTTGAACACGAGGAAATAGCAAATCTATGCTTCATCACCATTCTGGAAAATGACATGAACAAATACTCCGGTTGCCGGACCAATAAAGATGCATTAGACGATGAATGCAAAGAAGATAATGACAATTGTTTCATGGCACGAGGTGAAACAAGCGAGGTAAGATCTTATAACTGTGATAGATGTAATGAATTGCAGGATATTCTTAACCTTACTCTAAAAGAGTCTCAAAAAATGATGAATCAACTAAGGAGACTCAATAGAGAAAAGAAAGACTGGAAACTCAAGCTTGAAGTATGTGAAATTGAAAGAGATGTACTTCAAGTTGAAGTTCAGGAATTGCAAATGCAACTTAATGGCATGCGCAAGTCCACCAGTCACAGTTCTGTCAAATCTAACTAGGCGACTTACAACTCAACTAGAAAAGGATCGGTTAGAACTGAGTCCACAAGTACTAACACAAGTGGTAGATCAAAAATTGGATCAGCCCCTATGTGTCACTACTGTAACAAAAGTTGACATAAATATTCTTTCTGTCGATTTTGTAAATCTAATATTTCAGGATGGATTTGAAAACCCAAAAACAATCCTAATCTTAGTAGAACTTACCAACAAGGACACAAGAAAGCTTGGGTACCTAAAAAAAAGTGATAATTCTGTTTTGCAGGAAAACCACAGGAAGAGCCGCAATGGAAAATGTTACTTAGACAGTGCATGTTCCAGTCACATGACAGGTGACAAAAACCTGTTCAAAGAAGCTACAAAGATAAATGGAGGAAGTGCCAAATTTGGCGATGACTCAAAAGGAAAGATAGTTGGCACTGGCACAGTTCCATTCGATAACAATTGTGATATTATTGAAGTGTATCTTGTAGATGGACTCAACTACAATCTCCTGAGTATAAGTCCTCTATGTGATTCAGGGTACGAAGTTAAATTCAATACAGGTTGTTCCATTGAAGATGAGACGGGTAAAATAATACTCCCAGGAAAAAGGTATGAAAATGTTTATATTTTTGATGGCTTTGAAAATCTAGATAGTCACATCTGTTTAGCATCTATATTTGATGATCCATGATTGTGGCATAAGAAACTTGGTCATGCAAGCATGCATCTTATTGAGAAACTCTCCAAGCATGATTTAGTTATTGGTCTCCTTAAACTCAACTTTTCTAGAAATCATGTATGTGATGCATGTCAAATTGGTAACAAACCAGAAATTCCTTCAAAAGCAAAGACATTGTGTCTACCACCAAGCCTTTACAATTGCTCCACATGGATTTGTTTAGACCCACCAGAATTGCTAGAATAGGAGGAAAACGATATGCTTTTGTTATTATCGATGACTTACATGTGTGATTTTCTTATCTCACAAAGATGAAGCTTTGAAGTACTTTGAGATTTTCTACAAGAGAGTTGAAAGAGAAAAGGGGTACCTTATTATAACCATTCAAAGTGATCATGGAGGAGAATTCGAAAGCAGAGCATTTGAAGATTTCTGTAATGATCAAGTATATACTCACAATTTCTCAGCTCCAAGATCACCTCAACAGAATGGAGTAGTTGAGCGGAAAAATAGAACTTTACAAAATATGGCTAGAACAATGATAGTGGAATATTCCTTGCCAAACCATTTTTGGGCAGAATATTCTCAAAGATGTCTTATAAGACCTATCTTGAAGAAGACTCCATATGAACTATGGAAAGGTAAATGGCCTAACATAGGTTATTTCCATCCTTTTGGCAGCAAGTGTTTTATCCACAACAATGATAAGTAAAATCTTGAAAAATTTGACCCAAGAAGTGATGAAGGTATTTTTCTGGGTTATTCCATAAACAGTAGATCTTTTAGAGTATATAATAAATGCACTTTATCGGTAGAAGAATCAGTACATGTCATATTTGATGAAAATAACACTACGGCCGATAAAGGAATTATTGCTAGTGCTGAAGATATCAGTCAAGAAACATCACAGTCAAGCAAACCTCAAAAGTCGACTGATAAGATAGATGGTATCACATAATCAACTAATGAGCCTGTCAACAGTCAACCAGAATCACAAAAGGAGTCAACTACTCATACGATTGAAACACATCCAAATTAGTGGAGATGTGAACCGGAATATCCTCAAAAGTTTATCATAGGAGATCCAAGTGAATGAAAAGTAGGAGAGCCCTCAAGAAGAAGTCAAATATAGAACTAATCTCTCAAATTGAACAAAAGAAAGTTGAGGAAGACTTAAAAGACTCCAGCTGGGTACAAGCAATGCAGGAAGAACTCGATCAACTTGATAAGAATCAAGTCTGGAAACTACTACCTAAGCCTGCAGATGCTATTGTAGTTGGAACAAAATGGGATTTCAGAACAAGCTCAATGAAGATGGAAAATTTGTGAGAAACAAAGCCAGATTAGTAGTCCAAGGCTACTCGCAATAGGAAGGAGTCGACTACGATGAAACCCTTGCACCAATAGCTCGACTAGAGTCTATATAGATTCTTCTTGCATATACATCCTTTAAACAATTCAGACTTTTTAAAATGGATGTGAAAGGTGCCTTTTAAATGACTTTATTGATGAGGAGGTATATGTAAAACAACCTCCTGGTTTTGAAGACTCAAAATTTCCTACCAAGTGTATAAGTTAACTAAAGCTCTGTATGGACTCAAACAAGCTTCACGAGCCTGTTACGAGAGGCTTAGTTCATTTCTACTTGATCATGGCTTTACAAGAGGTAAAGTAGATACTATACTATTTATCAAAAGATCATCAGGAGGTAATCTTATTATTCAAGTTTATGTTGATGATATTATCTTTGGAAGTACTAACCATCTTTTGTGCAAGGAATTCGCAAATCTTATGCAAAGTGAGTTTGAAATGAGCATGTTGGGAAATCATACGTTTTTTTTGGACTTCAAAATCAACAATCTGAAGAATGAACGTTTGTGTGCCTGACAAAATATACAAAGGAGTTAATTCAGAATTTTGGCATGAGCAGTGCTAAAGTAATTGGTATTCCAATGAGCCCGTCAACAAGTCTTAACAAGAACAAAAAAGGAAATCCAGTTGATGAAACTAAATATCGTGGAATGATTGGCTCTTTACTTTACTTGACTGCCAGTCAACCAGATATTATGTTTAGTGTATGTAAATGTACCAGGTTTCAGTCAGCTTTTAAGAAATTGCATCTGACTGCAATAAAGAGAATAATTCGTTATCTCATCGGAACTACTTCATATGGACTATGGTACCCACGTTCTAAAAATTTTAAGCTAGAATATTTTTCAGATACTGATCTTGCAGGTGATAAGGAAGACAGAAAAAGCACTAGCGAAACACGTCAATTACTGGAAAATGCATTAATATCATGGAACAATAAGAAACAAGGCTCAGTTGCATTATCCACAACGGAGGCAGAATATATTGCCATTGGGCAATGTTGTGCATAGTTACTATGGATGTCTCATCAATTAGGTGACTATGAACTATTTTTTAAACCTATTCAAATATTTTGTGATAACTCTAATGCTATATGTCTCTCAAAGAATCATGTGCATCATTCTAGGGCTAAGCATATAGACATCAAACATCATTTCATTAGAGATCATGTCCTCGAGTGAGATATAGAATTATCATTTGTTGGCACCACTAATCAATTAGCAGACATTTTCCTTAGCCTTTACTTGAAGATAGATTCTGCTCCCTAAGAGAACTACTTGGTATTATTTCGCTTGATCATAAAGATTAGGACCTATGTGTTAGTTTTAATTCTTGTGTGTCTAATGTTTTTAATTTTATTTTATCTATTAGTACGCATTAGTTTAGCGCCTCCGATTTTCCTCTCTTTTCCCATCAATCGCAGCTTTCAAGAAAGGAAAATCAATCATCATGACTCTTCACTGACACTCTTTCCTTTCCTGCACTCAACCATCAAAATCCCTTCTCTTTTAATCCTCTAAACCACTTTTCTTTTTCTTCATTGTTACTAACGCTCGGAAACCCTCCTAAAAAATCTCTCAACCTCTTCCTCCAAAATTTTCAATGGCTAAACACTCCAAGAATCCGTCTACCTCTAATACAAAAATTACTCATTCTAAAGAAAAACCCTCTCCTCAGCCCCTAGAACAAGTAGACCTAGGGTCTGACCACTCAAAAGGGTTTGCCTCTTCTCTGGCAGAACTATCATACCATTCTCACCAAATAGGAGAAAAGGCTCATGGAAAAAGGCCTATGGAAGACCCTCATGAATCTTTTACCCCCAAGAAATCCAAAGTAGACCTCTCGAGTTCTCTTGAATCTGACCTCAATTTATGGGATACCCCAAATAGGACTTTCTTTGTTGCTTTGAAAGACAAGCCCATTGCTCATGGTAGAATAGTCAACCTTGATGATATGGAGTCCCTCAATTGTAAGGTAAAGGATCTGTTTGTTTTTTAAGGATTGTCTAAATTCCTCTCTGTACCCCCTCCCAAAGTCTATGAACTTTTAGTGAGAATATTTTATGCCAATCTTCGCTCTAGCAAGCTTGATAAGTTGGAATCCCTAGTTCTAGGAAAATGCATTGTCCTTGATTGTGCCATGTTTGACTCAATTTTTCAGTGTAAGTGCTCCGGTTTTCCTATGCTTTTCAAGAATATTTAGCCTGATGATTTTGAAATTTCTTTTGATCAAGCAAAACGTTGTATTGCTGAGTGTCCATCTAATTTCCTTCCTAACTAGTTAGATCCCAGTGATGTTAGTTTTGAAACCCGAGTTCTGGCCCACATTGTTGCAACTGCTCTTATTCCACATACTGGATCATTCTCCACCTTCTCTCAACGAGATACCTTTCTCGTCTACTATCTTGTGACCAAACTTAAGGTTAAACTATCCTCATGGTTCATAAACTTTATGATTGAGAGTGCTGATGATCCCACCAGTTTGCCCTATGGTATGGCTGTCACCCACATTTTGGAAGCCCACAACATCTCTATCTCTGAATACCCCTTTGTCTCTATTTCAAAGTCCTACAGTTCTAGAGCTTTCGCTAGTATAGGGTATCTGGTGCTAACGACTCCTAGGTGAAGAAATAGGAAGGTAAAGTCAAGAACGTTCAGCCTGATCCCAAGATCAAAGCCTCCGTTTCCCATCATAGTGTAGGTGATCCTGACCTTATGGAGAAACTGACTGCTATTGACAACAAGTTGACCATCTGAAAGGACCTTCTTGCTGCAACTCAATCCACTTTTGGGGACATCCATGCAATCTCCAAAGAGACTGGGTCTGATATTTCAAAAATAAGGGTCAGAATTCTCAAACTTGGAGAAAATGCAGTCAAAGCTTCAAGAATGTACATGACTGGATTGATGGGGTGACAGTTTCAGCCAATGCCGGCTTTGAACGTCCGAAGGGGGCGATTTGCAATACTCTTACTTACTTCTTGCGTTGTTAGTTGTGGAAGTTTCAAACAATCATTTTTTGCTATTTCGCTATTTTGGACCAGATAACCAGTCGCTGGATGTTTTTCTTTACTTTTGCTAAACTCTGTATTCCTATATTTTGCAAATAGTTGCCTACTTCTACTTTATTTGCCTATAATTTGTATATATGCATATCCTCTCTTTGCTGATGTCAAAAAGAGGGAGAAAGAAGTTGTACATTGTAGGACAGATAGCAACTCTTGTTGAAGAGAAGTTGACTGAAGTATATGTTACCTGTGGAGGGGGATTCGCCTGAAGTATATGCAGTACCTATTGAGGGGGAGTCGACTACAAGGAAGTAAACTGTTGTTTATATATATTATTTTTGTCATCATCAAAAAGGGAGAGAATGTTAATTATGAGCTTCAATGATGAAAAATATTATATCACATTTAGTGCAGGATCACAAGGAATAAATCAAAGAAATCAAGAAGCAATACCATTCAAGAATAGATTAAGGAAAAAATCTATTAACGGGAGCTCTAAAAGCAACACAAGGAAAAGAATCATTGAAAAAGGAAAAAGCAACGGAAATTCAGAAGAAGAATCAATCAATAATTCTATAAATGATTGACGGAAGCTATTATAGGAAGGTCCCAAATCAAAGGAAATCGAGATCGCAAAGGGGTGCACTGGAGATCGTGGAAGCCAGAAATCAAGGGATCTATTTCAAATCACTAAAGTAACGAAACGATATGCCTAGCGGATGAAAAGCTCATCAAGACCACAAATCAAGGAAGATCAACGGAAACTGACTTTATTCTTGGAAAGAATCAATCTATGATTCCTTTCAAGGATCAAATCCCTTGGGTTTGCAATCTCTTATGATTCACGTCGTTCAAGAGTAAGAAGGCCTCACGAAATATATATATATATATATATATATATATATATATATATATATATATATATATATATATATATGTTNAGACATACTTTGAACGAACCATTATCACTCCTTCAGTTCTACTCCAAATAAGCATTGCAGTTCTTTTAGATCTGATGTGTAATTAATAAGAGAAGAATAAGAGACAAACACTAATGAGGCATTGTATCAAGAAGAGAAAAGTGATATAGAGATTAAATTGTTGGTGTAAAGCTACATCAACCATTCTGTACTCAAGAAACTTGGATCACTGAAAGAAAAACACCTTTGCAACCCAAGGGGACTAGAGTAGGATTCACATTGAATCTGAACTAGTATAAAATTCTGGTGTCTTTATTTCCTGCATTTTATTTTTGCATTATTATTTTTCTGATCTTATCGCTAGTCGACTAATTGGTAAACTAGTCAACTACTTATAATATAATTTTTAAATAGGCAATCCCCCCTTTATGAACGACCATGTTGACAAGACTGTGTGTAGCTGTTCACTGGNCCCCCCCCCCAAAAAAAACCCCCCACAATGCTTTCAATTGGTATCAGAGCTAGTCTCACACTTTTTGCTTAACAACTTGTGAGAAAAGATCATGAAAAATCAAGTAATTGTTGGAGCACTCTTTCAAGAAGGAAAATCGCAAGTTAGGCCACCATATTTCAATGGACAACGCTTTTCTCACTGGAAAGTGCGTATGGAAATATATGCAAAATCCTATGATGTCAAAGTATGGCGCGTTATCAAAAAGGGGAACTATCCACTACCAGCAGCAGCTCAACCACCCACTGATCCAGTAGATATAGATGAGTACACATACGAGCAAATGACAGTTGTTCAGGTCGATGCTAAGGCACGGAATTTACTCTATAATGCTATAAGCAGAGAGAAATATGAGAAAATCTCAAGGTGTGATACATCCAAAGAACTTCAAAAATGAAGACATTTTAAGAACCTTTCAGTATATATTAAATAGAAGTTTACAATTTTTGAAACTTCAAAAAGCATTTTTTAAGTAGACTAACCTCAGGGGAGGTATTTGAAAATAACTTATATTAAAGTATCTTCCTCAAAAGTATTTCAAATTGATTGATAGAATTAGCTAAATAATTAAGGGTCCTACAGGCCACGTGTCCATAACAAAGGAAACGGGACACCTTATGAGTTTTGGTCAGCTACCGTAAACTGACCAATGACTCCCATCCACCAAACCTCATTCAACAAAAACAAAGTACAAATTATAAATATCTAATGAAGCTAGTACGTACTACTCTTCTTACCAAAAGGGATCGTAAAGAAAACTAAGCACCTAGAATTACTACTACTCTTTGTTTTCTTCTCTTGATCATTTGCCGTAGAAGATGGCCGTTGCAACAAAGTTGTGCCTCAATCTCTCCCCTCATCCTCCTCCTTCTAACTCAATTCCTCCACCTTCAAAGACTACTCAAGTTTCTTGGTACAATTTCTCCTTACGTTGTACTATATCATATGTGGCACACTCTTCTATTTTCTATATATCATACTTGGGCACTCTATATTTTAAACTTTTTACTGTACGTTTTTATACCTACTGAAATGTCATGACATGTTTACGACTACAAATCTAAAAATATTTTAAATGTGCTAGTTAAAGTCTTTTTAATTTTTCCGGTAAACTCAATGACTAGTCAAACATCACAACTAAAATAAAATGGAAAGAGTACATGTTTAATCTTACCTTTTTATGCAAATTTGGAAGATTGTCAATGTTATCTCAAAAGCAACTATTATCCTGCCAAAGAATTAGTCTTGTAAACTAATTATACCGAGTGCCCTTGATCTTTGTACTCTGTAGTAATTAAAAATCAAGAATCATTATTGTGCAATATGAATAACGTGTGACACAGTCAACATCTTTAACTTTTCATCCATCTATATTATCCCAAAAAAATCTTCTTATGTCTGACACGAACTCCCTTATTTTATTTACTAATTCCATAAAAGCATGTACCTTTTTCCTTGGTATTTATTTAAAATGTCATAATTTGGCTCTCTTTTAATTTACGCAGGCAACGAAAAGAAAAATCATGGAAAAGTCAATGTGTATTAGGGATGGCATGTATCGTAATTGGATTAGAATTAGACAGCTCAATATTAGTAAATCAAGAAATTAGTGCTATCGCCGGGGACATGCAATTACAAATTATTGCCGGAAAACCAATACAAAAATGGAGCGAGAAAAGATCGTGCCCGCCGTGGAACGGGAACTCTTTAGAAATCATCGTGCCGGAGAACTTACCGAGGCCGGTGACTCGCCGGAGATGGGAAGCCGTTGATTATACTACTACTCAATCTGCACCAGAAGTAAAGTCGGTGACAAGATTTAGTAAAGGGTGCTTCACTATGTGAACATATTAAAGGTTAATGTACAGTCAAGGGAGTTGGGTATAGGTAAAGGGTTCAATTCAATTAGGGTAATTGAATCCCTTTGACATAAAAGACAAGTTCAAATTTGCATTTTTTAAAAAAAAAAAAAAACCCTCTTATATAAACTTCTTGGCTCCGCCAGTAGCTAATTAATTACCGTGTATATTGAAGAATGCTATAAAATATAAAATATTTGTGGTCTTAATTTGTTTTCGTTTCTGCTTGATTAATGAATATAGTCAGTAGTAGTACATGATTGGCAGTTTATTTGCAGTACATGCAGTACTGGAATATACGTTACATCAGCTCTTGCTTTTCCCATTCCCAAACTCGATAGAAAGCATATTGGTTTGGTTGAGAAAAATTTTATTTTGTGCCTCGCACAACTGATATTAGTTGTATGAGCCATCTTTTTTGTCTCATAATTTTGTTGTCTCAAAATTTTGTTGATCCAAATATGTAAAATATGGGTCCACAAATATGTGAGATAACACACCATAAAATCACTCGTTTGGTCGACATCAACCCATAAATAAAAGCAAATGAGCCGAAGCAACAGATTGATAAGTGTCATAGTTTGGTGCACCACTTAGACATCCGTATAAGAACTTGATGTTTATATCTGCTCCCTTGTTGAGATTTTTATGTGGAAAACCTCATTGCTTAAGGGAGTAAAAACCACGATCTAGCTCTGAAATTTTTCACAAAAACTTCACTAAAACAAGGAGCAGTTTCAGGTTACAAAATTCGTATAACCTAAGAGACTAAATCCTAGCCACTTGATTACCTACAACCACTTTGATCGTAGCAAAATGCTCAAGCTAACTCTAGTCTAAGACTTGAATTCTCTCACAGAGAAAAACCCCTCGAATTGCTTCTTGTATAAGCAAATAAGATTACAACTCAATAAGCCCAATACATTGAACTAGACTAAACACAATGAATTTGACATTGTATCAAGGAACTGGTTCTTCTACATATTCCAGCTTTCAATAACTAGTTCAGAATTTTGAACTCGTTTTTTCTTACTTGTCTCTCAGTTTATTCTGAAACATAATAGAAGTACATACCTACAATGAAGTAAACTTGGACTACATATAGGTAACACATTAGTAGCTAGGGGTGGGCATTCGGGCAGTTCGGATTGGATATGAAAATTTCGGTTTTCAGATTGAAGAAATAACAATCCATATCCAATCCAAATAAGCTCGAATTGGATCGCATCTTTTAAGTTCGGTTTCGAACTAATCGGTTTGGTTATTTCGAATTTTCGGTTTTGAGCCTATAAGTTGAGGTGCTTCTTCTTCTCACAAAAATAACATCCAAATGAGGTATTCATGTTAAATTGTGTAAAAAGTTTCATATTCTCACCGCAATCATCCAAATAAAGTATTCAGGTAATGAAATCATCATCAAGGAAATGCAACAGAAACATTAATAAGGCTAATAAGAATTAGCAATAGTAAAACCATGTCCAAATAGAAAGTATTTTGACAGTAACTTAATAAGTAGTATTGAATATATGAGATAATATTTAATGGGTAGGGTGTTAGACTTATTACTATTTACGTATGGACAATGGACTAAATATAAAGTATAAAAACTTCGGAATTTCGGATATTCGAAAGTTCAAGTACCAAATCCAATATCCAATCCAAAATCCAAAATTTTTAACAATTATACCCATAATCCAATACGTAATTGAAAAATCCAAACCGAAAGTTCAAAAATTTTGGATTTCGATTGGGTTTCAGGTTTGCCCAAAGTATGCCCACCCTTATTTGTTGCATAAAAAGTCCAAATTATAAATAGAAATAAATAACAAGAGGCCTACTTCATAAACAACTATATACGACCAGTTGACCACACAATTTTTCCTATTTGTTTCATACTTCAATTATAATTCTTCTCTAGCAAGAAACCTTTTTAATTTGCACCAATTTCTTGCAGAATATATCCCTTAAATATTTCCTAACCTTAGAGAATAAAGGAAGTAAGGAAAATATTTTTCTTTCCTTAAAAAGATTCCAATTATGATTCTTCTTCTTCACAAACTTGGTCTCTAAGTCAGCAATAAAGATTTACTAAGATTCTCTATTATTTGGGCGGCTACTAGGTCATTTATCACGAAATAAACAATATCTCACGCAAATACAAGACCAACCCAGTAGGAGCGGTCCTTCACCAAGTCCTTCGACCAACCCAGTATATCTACCATGTTTGTTAATCATCAAAAACTTCACCAATTTTCAACAATAAGTTATACCTGGCCCAAACAGATTTTGACCACTAAAATTCAAAGTATATCAAATGGTATACCGTTTCATATATGATATGGATAAGTTAATGTCCTTTAGATGAATAAGTTGATCTCTTTTATATGGATATATTTTGTTTATATTTATAATTCCATGGGATTTAAACTTGTTATATGAATCCACTTAGAAATGGGAGAAGCCAAACACTTTTATATAAGATTTGTAACACAAAGAGAACAATTGATTTATCAATTAGGTTTCCATTAGATTAAACAAGAACAATAAGCATGTAATCAGGCTACATACCTATCTCAAACTAAGGCTTTTTAACAACATTAGATTTACAGCAAAGTACTGGTGGCCAGCACCACCAAGGACAATATTCTAAGAGTCTCCTATGATACATCATTGGACGAAATGAGCTGCCAATCTTTTCTTGAGTTTGAACATCAACCCCCTTCACTTTTAGTGATTGGGAGTCTTTAAGTGAAGAGTCACCAAAGTTAAAGCATGGAGAGAAAACAAGAAAGAAGATGATTATAATCATTGATTCAGTAGTCTTCATGTTGAGTATTGCTAATTAGTTGAGTTCTAGTGATCATGTGAAACTTGTTACTAGGAAACAGAATATATAGAGAGGTTGAGATTGCTGGTATCAACTCTATAATTAATACTAGTGCTAGATGAAATTTATTATTGTACGTGGAACAGATTATATAAAGATAATTTCAGATTATACTATGATCTTATTCTATAATTAATTAATGTCCCTCAAGACTATCAAGTCATATTAATTCTTTTGAGATAGAATTCTTTCAATTTGTTACTCCCTCCGGTCCACTTTAAATAATTTTTTGGTTTTTTTACACATTAAAAAATTTACCTTTTAGCATTAATTAAGAATAAAATTGACCATATTAACCTTAATTTGCTAATTGGAAATATAACGAACTAATCATAGGCTCTTTACTCCAAGGGCAACTTTGGAAAGAAGTGTTAGCTTCAAGGTTTCACGTATTAATTTTGATGATAACAAACCAATATAATTATTAATCAAAGAATATTTACTTGTGGTAATCTTATTTTTTTGTATAGGTTTATTCAAGAAAGAAGATGCTGGTAAAGATCCAAACAAATATGGGAAAAGAGATATCATGTGAAAAATTTATCAAGGAAGATTATGTTCAAAGATTTGATCTCCAAGCGCCATAGAAGGAATAATATTTGAAAGTGAAAATTCAAATATGGAATGGCTTACGACAATATCAGAAGAAGAACATACGGAGATTATGGATGAGAAGTTTTTCAACATCTTGAAAGGAAAGTTGTTAAAATCGTAGAGAAGATCTATTATCGTGTGGAAGGAAGATACTATATGGAAGAGATACTACAAGACAAAGGAAGAATATAATTTTATGGAAAGAAAATATATTATGGGTGTAGTATATTCTATATTATGGAAAGAGATTATTTTTCAATATCAGAAAAGGACTCAAAGATTTATTGAGATCTATCAGAAAGGAAATATTTTACTAAGAAAGATATTTTACTACAAGGAATCGGCCAAATCTTGCATTTAAGGAATGTTGCACAAACAAACTTATTTACTACGGATGAGATGGAAAGTACTGTTCTTATGGAAAGAAGCATGAGTTACTGGAATCAATCAAGAATTACTACAATCATGGAAAAGTAAATCATGAGGATTTTGATTGAATCATCATGACTATTCTCAAGTAGATATTCATAAAGATTATATATTGCAAAGAAATATTAATCATGGATCTATTCAAGGAAAGAATTGATTGGAAATTCAAATTGTCCAATTCAAAAGGAAAGTTTGCATTAACAGAAGATACCCAAATATGCCTTATAGAGTGTGATCATGTTCAAAAGGGCAAGAAGCAGTAAAGGAAAGTTGGAGCAGCAGCAAGGGAAATCCTTTTCCAATATTAGAAGACCGCTGCAACGGCTAGAATATCCAACAACCAAGTACAAAAGAGAAGATACTTGCAACAGCAAAATCACGCAGCCTTCTATACAATTTTCTATCTAACTACAAGTTCTTTATTCTACTCTTAACAAGCATTGTAATTCACTTTAGTAGATTTACTGTGTACCCAAAAGAGAGAAGAGAGACAGAAAAATATTGGAGAGGCAGTGTGTCCTAGAGGTTGTATCATTGTCCGTTTCTTTGGTGAGCGAGTGAAAACCAACCCTGTCAGCGTTGGTGGTGATCGCTGAAAATCACAAAGGTTGTACTCAATTCAATTTACAAAGAACTCTAAAAGATAACACTCTTGCAACCCAAGAGGAGTGGATTAGGTTACCACATTGGTTCCGAACTAGTATAAAATTCCTGGTGTCATTTACTTCATCGCTCTCGTATTATATTCTATTCCTTTACTGCTTATTGTGCTTAATACTTGTTTAAATCGAAAGAACTAATAGTTCTGTGCAGGCTGTCTCCGCATAAGTCGACTAGGTCTGAAGAGTAGTCGACTAGAAATTTAAAAAGACTACAATTCATCCCCCCTCTTGTACTTTCAATTGGTATCAGAGCAGGTCTCACATATTTATTTTTTGCTTAACAACAAGTGAGAAAAGATCCATGGCAGGTTATCAAATTATTGGAACCACACTTCAAGAAGGATACTCAACAAGAAGGCCACCATACTTCAATAGTCAATACTATAGCC